ATTTTAGGGGACGTAGCGCGCTTCACAAAATCGGTGAATTTTACTAAAATTCTGATCGCGATCGGCAACCTCAAATCGGCCAAAATTCAATTTTGTCTCGTAGCAAAGCAAAAATAAGGAATTGGAAAATAATAAAGTACTTTTTTATATATATGTGCCAAACCTTTTACTGACAAAAATTGAAGGAAAACTAGTTTTGGTCCCGAAGTCGAGTGGGCCGCTTTTAGCGAAACTGTCGCTTAAAAATTATTGAATATCAGTATTAATTATGATAAATAAATGAACAGAAAATTAAGCATCCTTTCCTTGAGTTTGATACGGTTGCCACTGATATCGCCATTGGAAGTATATATAAGAAAAAGAGCTCCCTTGACGTAGACCCTAACTGATACATATCTTTTATTCTTCGAGTGCGCTTATCTGTCTTTCCTTTTTTGCACTTTTTACCTTGATCTTCTGCACCTGCTCCAGCCAAACGTTCCACAATTTGTAGTGTAGTGATGGTAAATTACAGTAGCTACCTGTACATAATATACAACTGTTCTACTTTTTCTGTCCTCGCAAACATTTTTCCTGCAAGAAGAAAAGAGAAAAAAAAATGAAAACATCCGAACGTTCTTTTAGCAGTAAGATCAAGCTTTTTCTTACTGGGCAAGCTCCAATTCATATCATCTGGATTGGAGTCATTTGGATAGGTGTTTGGCTGGTTCACAGCCCACAAGCAGGCTCGCGTTTGGGGAGCAAGTCTAAGAGTGGCGAAGCAACGAGAAAAGTGGGCCTGGGGCCCGTTTCTGGAAGGTCCCGGAGAGTTTTCGCATCCGGAAAACTATAGCGGAATCTCAAACCTTATGACTACAGAGCTGTTTTATTCACGTATTGTTAATATGAAGATAGGCTTCCTTCAATTCACAGAAGAAGTTTCAGGCGTATACACTTCTCTGTTTTCAGATACAGATTAACTAAAAATGGCTTTACGGGCCCGAAAAGTATCCGGTGCTTTCGAGAAACGGGCCCTGGTCTGAGTTCTACAAATTTTTCATTTCCAACCTGGAAACCCCGGAATAAAATGAAAAATAAGCTAGTTAATTTTCATTGGAAGGACGAAGTTTGACAGCTCATATCTCTCTAGAAAAGTTTCGACCTTTTTCAACACAACTTGCCGGCGCGATGTCGGTTGTTGGTAAACGCGAATAGACGTGATTTCGCCGAAGACGAAAACTGGGCGTGGAAGAAAATATCTTCCTCCTTTTTCCGACTAAGTGGTTGCTTGTTTAATTAAAGTCTAACATAGAGAAACAGCCTGTGTTAAATACAGGAACAGAAAACTATTCCAAGCATCTAGGCAAATGAAAAAGGGTATTAGTGGTGTTGTGTTTGCGAAATTGTGCGGAGATGTGGCTTTCAAGTAAAAGTAAATGGTATCCTCCAGTATATCTGATATAGTTTGTTCCGTTTGTGTTCGCAAAATAAGGAACATGCGGCACCAGTTATGTTCGTTTGTAACAACTGTGCAAACATTTGTATTAATGACAAAATGTTTACAAGGTTAAAAATGTTCAAAAATGGTTAAAAAAGTAAACTACCAAACGCTTTTGACATAATGTCACCGGCTTCAGGGTGAAAAAGCCGTCCGCTATTCAGATAACTGATAACCGATAGGTTATTCCCGATGGGAACAGTTTCGCCATGTAACATTGAATTTGTTTGTTCGAACTGGGTTGCCTTCTAGGATTCTACACCTGTGGACCGTTCAGAGTATGCGACAGTTAAAAGAATGCAAAGGGTTCTCGCGTAGGTGACGGGTAGCTTCACAGTCATGGTCAGAGTCATTGCATGTGTTTGAATGTTTCACAACTCAATGTAGCTGTCGCCGCAAGAACAATATCCATTATAGACCACATGTGGTCTACGAGTGTTTCTATCTTTGAGGATGAAAAGGTTTTTGATTTGTCTTGATTGCCAAAGGACAATGAAAATGTAACTGAAACCCGTGAAATGGTTCAGTTTGGAAATGAAAGTTTTTCTCAGTCGTTCGTTTCTATTGCGGTAGGGAAGTTTGACGGATAAGACTCTTGTTGCGCTCTTCGAAAAGGAAACTAGGAATCAAAATATCGTCTTTAGGTGAAGGTTTCAGAAAACGTTTCGCTGTGTGGGGAATAAGACGTATTGGGTAGCTCGTATTTAGAAAGGTTGCTTCAATTGTTTTGACATCGTTGTCAAAATAATAAGGGATACGTTTCGCTCGATGGAGAGCACCGGTGAAACAATTTTTTTTTTCCAATTGGTGGGGATCTCCGGTTTCCAATGCGTTGATAGTTTACCTGGATTCTTGTAGACTTTGCAGCTAAACTTGTTATCATAAGTGAAAACAGTGTCGAGGAAATGGTCGGGATTTTTCTCAACAGATCATCAGGTTGGTCTCTTTTTCCTCTTGGAAAAACAATCATCAGCATCCCGGTCGAAGAATGGTGGGTTAAAGGGTGGAACAACATCGAATTCCAGTTTGGCCATGAAGATATTAGCCAGGGCAGGACATAAGGGTTTTTCCATGCCGCATCCGTCAATTTGTTTGTAGAGGTGACCGTTAAAACTGAACACTCTATTGGAAATCTCTCTGTCGTCCAAACGAGTAGTAGTCCAGCTCGGTTAAGGGACAAAATTGTTCGTTTTTTGATAAAAGCATCAAACTTGGCAGGGTAGCTAACCTCCATAAGA